GAGAGAGAGAGAGAGAGAGAGAGAGAGAGAGAGAGAGAGAGAGAGAGAGAGAGAGAGAGATGTAAGCAATCCCAGAGGCCGGAGGAGGATGTCAGAACCCCCAGTGCTGGAGTCACACAAGGTTGTAAGCCGGGTGCTGGAAACTGAACTCAGGTCCTCTGGAAGGTGGCTATGAGCTCATAACTGCTGAGCCACCTCTCTAGCACCGGAACTACTCACTTTTTAATAACAGCTGAGTCTTCTCTCACTTCCGCTGGAATTTTGCTCTACAGAAGCACATTCACACAGATGTACACACGCCTGTGTGTGCATAAAGGACAACCAACGGGGTGAGGACTGAGCGACTTGGAGCTAAGGTCCACTGCTTAGGGCTTCCACCTCATCTTTAGCCAAACAGAAACAAGTATCGCCATCCCAGACAGCGCCGGGGAAACTCCAGCTTATGGTCTGTGCGTCCTTTGTAAGTACAAAGGACACAAAAAGGTTAAAGCTAAAATAATTTCCCTACGTTAGAAACACGGTCCTCGGCCCACAGATCTGCAGTTTTCGATGGACCAGCCCCTTGTGTTCCGTGTCAGCGCCGAGACGCCATGCACACAGCGGGTACCATTCATTGCCCCTCTCACGCAGGTGATGCTCTGGTCAGTGTGCCGCCTCACAGGTAACAGGCAGATGCAGAGCGCTCTTACCTTGGTCTCCGCCACAACTTAAAAGCGCACTATAGCCGGGCGGTGGCGGCTCATGCCTTTAACCCCAGCACTCGGGAGGCAGAGCCAGGCGGATCTCTGTGAGTTCGAGGCCAGTCTGGTCTACAGAGCGAGATGCAGGACAGGCACCAAAACTACACAGAGACACCCTGTCTCGAGGAACCAAAAAGTGTACTATACCATAACATTGGTTACTAATTCACAGTTGAGGTTTATTAATCCACCCTTTTGTCTTGGTCTAATTAAAAACAATAAAAAGAAAAAAGGTACAACTTTTGCATCATGCTGTAATTGAGTCTAATAGTCAGGTCAAAATTAAAATGCAATGGGATCTGCCTCGGTACATGTTCAACACAAGTGAGTACCCTGAGGGTGGTGATTCTGTGGACATTTTTGGAGCCTGTCCTTCCCGAGGCATGGCCAAGAAGTTCAGAGATATGACCAGAGAGAGTTAAGGAAAACCTCCCCTACTGCATCCATCAACCTCATCCCTAGACATTCCACAGGTCAAAACTAGCTTTTAGTTTCCAAAAACCATCAAAGGATGTCAAAAACCTGGACCACATGATAGTGCCACATTTTAGGATAAATGTCAGATACAAAAAAAAAAAAAAAAAAAAATGGTGTTTTCACCTGGGCATAAAATATGACTATATGCTGATTTCAATGACTGACAGCCAGGATTAGAAAAAGTCACCATCAGAAGTGAAGCGGGACTCCTATGTCTCAGGACAATAGTCCCCTCCCCCTGCCTGGGGCAAGGATGAAAGTGGGAATTCAGTCGAAGTGGCCGGCAATTAGTGGGAATGGAAAATCATGCTGTGACGAGGACCCACAAAAGAGCTTGCCCATTCTTTCCAAGACACAGAATGAGGTGGGAAGTAACCCTCCAAGGTGTATGTTCCTTAGAGGTAATTTCATGCCTACAAAGTGCTAAAAGGGGCCTCACAACCTCTGGTTCTGCTTCCTGGGGACAGCATTGGACTCCTGGTGCTCTCTCCTAACCCACATTCCCACCCCACACCATGATTCCTGGGGCTCTCTCCTAACCCACATCCCCATTTCACACACCATGATTCCTGGGCTCTCTCCTAACCCACATTCCCACCCCACACCATGATTCCTGGGGCTCTCTCCTACCCATATCCCCATTTCACACACCCTGAACTGCTGCAGAGAAGGCTGGTGCTCATGTTCTTTCTTACCAGCCCTCCCACATGCACCAAGCTACCTTGGAAGCTATATTTAAAGGGGAGGGCTGGTGAGACGGCTCGGTGGGGAGAGGTACCAAGCCCGATGACCTGAGTTCAATCCCCACAAGCCACAGGGTAGAAGGAGAGAACCAAAGCCCACTAGCCTTCTTCTGGTCTCTGCCTGTGTGCCATGCCATAGGCACACATGTGCACACCTAAACAATTAAGTGTGAAACAAAAATAAAAGAAGCTACAGGACACTCAACCTAGCTCTAATCTATCAGATGTTCCGCCTCTCCTCTTCTCTCCCCCCAAATTAGAGCCAAGTCAGAGAACCGGGTCTTTCTGCAGCGTAAGAACAGCCGTGAAATAAAGCACAGCTGGGCCCCTCAGAGTCTGCCACCGAAAGGAAACCTCCCAAAGAGGGAGGAGCTTCTGAGCAAGCCCGTGCGCTAATCTGGCTCTTAAAACCCACATCCTCCTGCAGGGCTCGGGCTCTGTACTGCCCTTCCTGCTGAGCAGAACCAGGCTCTCCTGGCAGTGCTTGCCCAAGAATGAACAACCAGTCCTGGCTAGCGCGCCGAAACTCAGCGGCAGGGTTTTAAAGATTTCTTACGGAACACGAGATAATAAAAACACAACACCAAAATCAATAACTGATCATCAAGAAGAGCAGGGCTTCCCCTAAGGGTAGGGAGTCTGACTCAGTCCCAGCTCTGACTGTTGTCTCTGTACTCAGCGTCCACGCTCCTGGAGGAGGTGAGCCCACCAGGACTCCCACACACACTCAGCGTCCACACTCCTGGAGGAGGTGAGCCCACTAGGACTCCCACACACACTCAGCGTCCACGCTCCTGGAGGAGGTGAGCCCACCAGGACTCCCACACACACTCAGCGTCCACGCTCCTGGAGGAGGTGAGCCCACCAGGACTCCCACAGTCTCTGCTGTCACTTCACACGAGGATTCTAGAGAGAGACCGATGCTCCAGCAGACTCACTTCCCCACTGGGGTGGGCATGGCCTTAAGCCAAGAACAACAACAGCCCTACTCAATTAAGCAGAGAATATAGCAGCTACTTATGGAGGGCATACTATACTTGGCACTGCCTTCAACTCTTAAACATACTATAATTCCCTCCAATTGAACCATTGATCATAAAATTGATCACTAGGCTTGTTATGGAGAAATCAGTCCACTAAAATGCATCCATCAGCCCCAAGATACACATCCCTCTTACAAAAAAAAACCTTAAGATCAATTAAAATGTCTCAGGGAATGGTGTGCAAGATCCAGTTTCATTCTCATATCAACCACTGTGGTAGGCGGGCAGTTTTTACAGCAGGCAGACTAAAACTGCGTGCCACACAAGGTCACACCAAAGCTTTGAGACAGCTGAGCCAAGCTTCACGATCCTGTCAAACTGGCTTTCCAAAGACTGTCTGCGCCCGGGACAAACAGGCCTGTGAGACCTGGGTTTCTGTTTTGTGCACGATCAAGACCATTAAGGAACAGTGTTTCTCCATTTCCTTCTTTCTACAAGCAGCAACGCTGAGTTTGGGGTTCACATTTCCCTGCCTCTCACTACTACGTCATGCGAGTGCTTCAGACTGAAAAAAGCGGAATTCTGGCCACAGTCTGATCTCCGGCCTCCTAGACACCAAAATGAAGAGCACTTACAGGTCTCCTGAACTTTGTTTCCTTAAGCTAAAAGGAAGTGAGCAGAAGAAACCCTCGCCACCAAGACTGGAGACTCCTGCCGTGCTCAGCTTGGCATCGAGTTCCAACAGAACCGCGGTTCTTTGTTTTTTATAATGATCCTATTTTCATTAAGGCTTACCAGGAAATGGGGCCACAGAGGGTGGACACTGAAGAGGGGAGCCAAAAGATCCCAGCTTCTCTAAGGTGGCTTTGCTCACCACCTACTCAGTGATCTTGGATAAAATTCAACCTCTTAGGACTATTTCCTTATTGTGATAGAGGACAATATTACCACATCTAGCCACTTCGCAGGCGCGGTGTGAAGTCAAGTGTGCTGCCTTGGGACTTTAAAAGCAGGCAGAAGGAATCAACCTAAGGGATGCCCAGCGCCAACACCAATTAGTGACGTGTCAGGAGAACGTCCACCCAGCTCTTCCCAGCAGCCTTTCTTCCTGCCCCTTGGGTTGCGATCTGCTGCTTCCCTACCCCACTGGCTCAGTGAGCGGGGTGTCCCTGCCTGGAACAATCTTCCCATTCCCGCCACCTGCTCAACTGATCCTCAGGGACAAAGAAAACGTACCCAGCTGCTCCCCTTTGCCCAGGTTGCCAAGGAGTTCCCCAGACCACTCCCAGAGGCGCACTCTGTTACAGATGACTCCCCCAGAGCAGCCTACTGTATCACTGTGGGCCCCCCAGACTCATCTATACTCCATTATGTTCA